TTTAAATTCGAATATAATTCAAATTTTGATAATATTTAAGTAGAAAATTCGAATTTAGTTTTTCAGTCATTTTGACAGCCCTAGTACACACCCCACGCTACAGTAACACACTGTCTGATCACCAAACACTCGATGCACTAGTAAAAAGTGTTTCTCATTGTCTTAATGCTGTAATCAACACCAACGAAGATCAAATATAACATCTGTTGTAAGTTTTGTGGCTTGTTGTCAGCTAGTCATGTGGTCAAATGATCAGTTGTGCTTGTTGTAGACAGAGCGAGTCAGATCCTCACCCTTCTCTTGAGACGGTCTCTCTCTCTCAGCGTGAGCGTGTCAGCTTTGGCGATCACAGGGACGATGTTGACTTTGCTGTGGATTGCCTTCATAAACTCAACATCCAGAGGCTTCAAGCTGGGAAATTAAGCACAAATGGAAGCACAAATCACATAAAAAAAGTGTTTAAATGTTTGGGGTCAGTAAGATTTGAATGGAATTAATACTTTGATGCATCCTTACTAAATGAAACTGATCAAAGTTAAACACATTTATAAAGTTACAAAAGATCTCTATTTCAAATAAACGTTCTTTTGAATTCCTTCAAACAAAACCATTCATAAATGTTTTCAACATTGATAAAAATAAGAAATATTTTGTGAGTGGCAAATCAGCATATTAGAATGATTTCTGAAGGATCATGTGACACTGAAGACTGGAGTAATGATGCTGAAAATTCAGCTTTGACTCACTGGAATAAAATTCCAAAATATATATTCAAATAGAAAACACTTATTTTAAATTTAAAGTACATTTCAGAATATTGGTGATTTTACTGTATTTTTGATCAAATGAATGCAGCCTTGGTGAGCAAAAGTTTCAAATATATAAAAAAATCTTAACAACCAGAAACTTTTTAACAGTAGTATACAAATTTATGAGCCCATGAGAATGAAAACAAAACGATATGTCCAGCAAATTTCACCCTGAAATGATGTGATGTGACTGTTTGGTTGCAATTTTTCCTGGCAATTCATGTCAGCAATAAACTTTTCTCCAAGGTCACCGAACATTTAAATCATCATGCTCAGTGTGAACAATTAACGTGAATTTTCACTTGTGATTTTATTGTCTTTTAATTTCTCCGAGGCTTGTTTTACACTTAATGTGAATAGCATGTATGTAAAAAATCAGCTGTAATTTCTGATGGAAGATTCATGTCACTTTTAAACTTAAACTTTAAAGTGCAAAGTTTTTATGTAATTTTCACCTGTGGTTTTTGTTGGTGATTCATGTTGCTTTAATGCATAACTTCTGCTGTAAACAGGCCTTAACATTTAACATCTGCAAGAATAAAATTTTTATTGACTGATGATGAAAGGCAGAACATGTGCAGGTGTTTTACCCGTGTCCAAACGGAGAGATGAAATAAAAGCAGCAGTGCACTCTGTTGTCAACGATGTGTCTGCGGTTCAGTCCGCTCTCGTCATGCAAGTATCGCTCGAACTGATTATCAATATACTGGATGATCGTCTTAAAGCTGTCGAACAGAATAAAGCAGATATCAGAGAACAAGCTGAAAGGAAATGCTCAGACATAAAAGCTTGTGATTGTATTAAACAAGTGCATTAAACAAGCATCGGATGCGGATCTCAGCTGAACAAAACCATAATCTAATCATGAGATATCTGGATGCACTTAGAAATGACAAACAGCCACTGTCCAAATAAAGCTTATCAAAACGCTCCACAACATCATGTTTACAGGTTCCTGTCCAGCATAGACGGACCACATGCACCAGTGTTAACTTATTTTCCATGGAGATCTTAGTATAGATTTTAATAATATTTTGATATTTTTAATATTTAATAGTTTTTATTTTAAATGTAATTAAATGTTAGTAATTTAGTTTTTTGTAATTGTTATTAGTTTGAGTTTTTGTTTACATATTTATAGTTTTTAATCTTTTTTATTTCAGTTTTAGTTTTTTAGTACATGAGGTTAAATAACAAAACTAAAAAAATAAACAATTATTTATTTATTATTATTATTGTTTTCTTTTTTTTTACAGTTTTAGTTTTTTAGTACATCAAGTTAAAGCTAAAAATGAGAAATGCTGACTTGGCTGGAATAATTTTTAAAAATGTTTTTCTATTTTATACACACGTGGTCAGAATTGTTGGTACCCTTGGTAAATATGAACAAAGGCGGCTGTTAAAATCTTTTATTTAAAAAAAAATCACAAAAATGTAACCTTTCATTGGAGAATAAGAATTTAAAATGGGGGGAAATATCATTATGAAATAAATTATGTCTAATACACATTGGACACAATTACTGGTACCCCTAGAAATGTAATATATAAATATATTTATAAAAACATATAAAGTTATTGTTAACTATAATTAGCCTAACTATAATTATTGAATGCATCAACTCTCAGTTCTCTAAAGCCTCGCCACCAGCTTCCCTTTTGCTCTACAGTCTCCTGACTTATCTAAACACCACATTCTAAACTAAACTAAACTAAACTAAACTAAACTAAACTAAACCCCTAACCAGAACTAAGCCACTTCTGTGTCTTCTGATAGACCTCATGCATGAATTGGGTTTGAGACCGCAGCCTTATCGAGAGGTTGAAGGAGAAGAAGACATGACATGACAGTAGGTAGGTAACATGGATGGCACATTTTCATTATCAGCCTGAGAAGTCTGTGGGTGAGAGATGGGGAGGATATTGTTCTTTCAAACAGGCCGTTCCCAGCATTCCTCAGCAACGCTCAATTACCAATAGAGCATCAAGAGACAACAGCTGCCTCCAGTCTACAGTCAAGTGCCATTGTGTAAATAATCTGTTATGCAGATACACAAACACAAAACATCGGGTATTAAATTAATAATCAGTCCGGTCTACCATTCAAGAGGTCAGCAAGTTCTAAAAGTTCTAATTTAATGGTAGATATCTGTGATAATAAACAGCTAGTTCACCTATCTAAGAGCAGCACTAATAGCACTAATGCAAGTGCACTCAAGAGTAAACACACATTATGTTTAGGGAAAATGAAACGTTGGAATGGGCCAAGATGGCATCTGGCCGAGATCTACTGCTTTATTTTAAGCAACAGATCTTTAATATGCATGCTGTGATTTAGCTGTTAAGACAGTTTGGATGGTAGAAAACTTAACATCGCTAAATGCATCAACTTTAAAGCAACATTCAAACATAATATGATGCATGCATGCAAATTTTTTTTTTTTGTTGAGAATTCTGCCATTAGCATTGCGTTTCTAATATGCAAGTTAAAATAGTCAAAAAATTTTAATTCCATCACAAGTCGCCTGAATTTGTTGTCCATCTAGCAGTTTTTGAATGCAAGATGATGTCTAAGACAAAACGTTTTTCTTTAAGAGTGCAGGTGCTTGTTTATTTTTACAATGAAAAGTTGCCTTGATGTTTAGTTATCTAAAGTAACGATGTTCAGAAGTGTGATTTAGGTGTCCAAATAACTAAGAAATTTTCAGATTCTATGTATAAATAAATGAGTCAGTTATGATGGACAATGTACAGTTATGAATGTTTTAATTGTTCAGGCTGAATATAGCCTGTGGGAAAAAACAGTTCTTGTGCCTGGCTGTTCTGGTGGTCGGTTGCTCTGTAGTATCGTATTGGCGTTTCGTCCAGACGGATCCGGCGTTTTGGGAGTCTGAAACCGCTATCTTTTGAAACCGAGTCCCAGAGTGGATAAATCTGAAAACGACACCCTTGCGTTTTCGCGTGTACAGCCAATCCGTATATTTTGTGAAACGATAATGTCATCACCCCACGTCTCAACCCTAGTCAGACTCCGCTACGTCATGTAACAGCAACAACAACAATTGCGGACAACATGCTTGTGTTCGTGCTGCAGAAGCTAAAGAGTCTATTAGCTTTACTAAAGCAAAATCAAAAATTACTAATGCAAAAATGTTTGTATACAGTGTGCAAGGTTTATGCGCATGCTCCAAGTCTTCTTCTCCATTTTTAGTGTATCTCTGTGGCAGAATTACAGCGCCAAATACTGGTCTGGCTTGTATACTACGTCGTTTTGAGTCGGTTTCAGTAGTTTCGTGTGTCCGCAAATATTTCTTGAGACGACACCGTGTTTATGGAATTTTATTTTTTTTACAACGAGGAAAAAAAAAGGATCGGATAGGATAAGCTCTGGCTTTGTGTGGATGTGGTCTTATTTTAGAACCGGGTCTTCTGTCTTCTGAAGGCCCGGTTCACATCCTCGACACAGACCTTAAGCGCAGGTTGAATGGTGGGTGAGGGAGGGAGTGGGGTTGCAGGAGGGGTAGGTGAATGTGTGAAGTGCAGATCAGAGCGGGTGTGGGGTGTGAGACTGGGTTTCTCAAACCGGCAGTAAAACACATTCAGATCGTCAGCCAGTTGTTGATTCTCCACAGACTGCAGGGATGGTGTCTTGATGTTCCTCAGATCAGTCCATACTGATGCCGGGTCGTTGGCTGAAAACTGTTTTTTCAGCTTTTCAGAGTAGTTTTCTTAGCCACTCTTCTTCTTTTGTTCCAGTGATCGTTGAAGATCTGTGTGAAGATGGGGGCCAGTTGGTCAGCACAGACTTTTAGACAGGCAGGTGAAACACTGTCTGGGCCTGAAGCTTTCTTAGTCTTCTGTTTTCTGAAGACCTGGTTCACATACCTTAAGCGCAGGTTGAATGGTTGGTGAGGGAGGGAAGGAGGGGGGTTGCAGGAGGGGTAGGTGAATGTGTGAAGTGCAGATCAGAGCGGGTGTGGGGTGTGAGACTGGGTTTCTCAAACCGGCAGTAAAACACATTCAGATCGTCAGCCAGTTGTTGATTCTCCACAGACTGCAGGGATGGTGTCTTGATGTTCCTCAGATCAGTCCATACTGATGCCGGGTCGTTGGCTGAAAACTGTTTTTTCAGCTTTTCAGAGTAGTTTTCTTAGCCACTCTTCTTCTTTTGTTAGTCTGTTTCTGGCCTGGTTATACAAGATTTTATCCCTACTTCTGTAAGCATACTTCTTGGCATGACGAAGCTGTTTGAGTTTCCCAGTAAACCACGGTTTATCATTATTGAATGATAGGAATGTCCTGGTGGGGATGCCCATATCCTCACAGAAGCTGATATATGAAGTTACAGTCTCTGTGAGCTCGTCCAGATCTGTGGCTGCAGCTTCAAAAACACTGCTCCGCTTCATTAGTACATCTTTTAACAGTCCTTATTACAGATTTAGCTGATTTCACTTTCTGCCTGTAGGTCGGTATAAGATGAACTAGACAGTGATCAGAGAGCCCCAAAGCTGATATGCATGAGTGATATGCATCCTTTATTGTGGTGTAACTGATCCAATTTATTACTGTCTCTGGTGGGACATGTAATGTGCTGTTTGTATTTTGTCAGTTCGCGGGAAAGATTTGCTTTGTTAAAATCTCCAAGAACAATTTAAACTGTACACTGTACCAAATGTATCATACCACTTTTAGAATTATAAAATAATAATAAGCAAATTTCAAATAAATGCAAAATGATAAAATAATATGAATTAAATACATTAAAAAATATATATTTTAAGTATGAATCATTCTTCTAATTAAAGACATCTCCAGATGTCTCCAAAGGGAGGTTTGATCTGATTTAGCTCACTCCTCAGGACAAATTTAGCTAATGGTGCATGGTACGGCATGGTACGGCACGGCATGGCATGGCCATACCGTTACCAAAATGTGACGTGTAAACCCTGCTGATCACTGATTGGCCGGAGAGAATCTCCACTACCTGCGTCATTGAACTTGCAACACGAGAACTAGACCCACTAGATTAAATCAGCACAGCCAGTGAGGAACGAACGCAACTTTTTTTGAATGAATGCAACAGTTTCGAACGAGCGCACCTATTTTAAACAACAAAATAATGGCTGTTTAGTGGTCTGTTGAGGAAGTACAGACGTTCCTCTCATTGATAGCTGAGGAGCGGATCCAGTGAGTGTGATGGGACGACACGGAACGGAAAAATTTTTCGGGAGGTCGAGGCAGTAGAGGCGGCGCAACTATAACAACATGTCTATGATCCCGCCCACTCTAAAGCGGTACTAAACTGCAGTGGAAACGCAAACTCAGCCGAGCCATGCCGAGCTGTACCATGCAGTGGAAAAGCGCCATAAGTAAACACATACTGACCAGTCCTGGCTGTTTATGGCATCTCCGTATCCGGGTGTGTCCACCACAGTAAGGCGGAGCTTCACTCCCCTCTCCTCGATTTCCACCGTGGACGCTTCAATCTGGACCGTGCGCTCGATCTTCTCTGCAAGTACAACAAAACCCCATCAGAACAAAAAAACTCAAGTTCACAAGAAAAAAAAGAGAAACACTTGGAAGGCACATCAAGACAAATCAAATTAAAAATATTCATGATTTACTGATGCACCATGAAAAAGATTAATGAGCATTTTCTGAGAACCTCTGGGAGGAGGCCCTGGGCTACAGATGGGATTACTTTCTTGAAAACAACCTTTTACTCTAGAGAGCTTTATTAGACAAAGTGCTCAACAGAGGGAATTTTATATCCATTGAGCATTTAAATTTTAAATCATAAATGTTCTGCATTCCACCGGGAGCAGCATCTTGCTGAAGAAAATATTACTTTACGCAAAAAAGCATTTGGACATTTAACGCACACTTAAAAAAATTTCTTAATTTATAGCATTAGGTGAAATATGCAATAAATAGAATAGAATATAATAGAATGTCATTTAAGTATCATTTAAAACAAAACACGTCTATTTGTGAAATGTTTTTTTGAAAAATGCTTGTGCAATTACACAAATGCTTTTACAATTACAGGGTTTCTGTAGGTTTTATAAAGGTAAATTTAAGACTTTTTAAGACCAAGTAATGGAAAACTAAGCAATAAATGGAAGGGAACATAAATGTCAATATGATCTCTAAATGTAATGTCTAGGGAGCAGAAAATGAGTTTTAATTAGAAAACTTTTTAATCAATTTGACAAAAAATACTTAAGGTTTGAATACCTCTGCTTCTAACCACTAGAACTTTTGCAGTACCTTACGCTACGCCTACGTCCTACATCATCCGCTGGACGCCACTCTCTCGTGAATGTGCGTTTCAGTTAGCGGAAGCTAGAGATTACAGTTTATAAAGTTTTAAATATGGATATTTTTCTTACAAAAATGCATCAATTCGCTTCAGGAGGCATTTATTTACCCCCTGGAGCCGTGTGGAGTGCCCTACTGGCAGATGTTTGTTCTTGTTTTAGGCATAGACTTTATGAATTTCAGACTTTCGGCTCTGATTTAAGACCTTTCAAGACCATTTTAAGACCCACAGAAAGACTGCAATTAAAACATTCTAAGATATTTCGTTATCGAATGTAATGGCATTCAGACAGCTTTACGTGTGTTTTGAGTGTTCACATACTTTTCGGGTCAAAATGAAGTTTATCTACAGAGGCTTTTCTCATGACTGCTAGGGATAATTTCAGTCTGGGATACAATATCCTGTAGAGATAATGAAGACCTCAGGAGACCCGTGTACGTGTGTGTGTTTTACCTGCCGCTCCAGGTATATAGCGCTCTGGGTAGAGGTCAGTCAGGAAGAGGCTGTTGATCAGGGTTGATTTGCCAAGACCAGACTCTCCTGAGATGACAAGTAACAGCCGGTTAAAAGCACAGTGTGTGTCTGTCTGAATCCATGTGTGTGTTTATATGTTCCTCACCTACAACCATCAGTGTAAACTCAAAGCCTTTCTTCACAGACTTCCTGTGAACCTGATTTGGCAGGTTGGCAAATCCCACATATCCTGCAGCATCAGGGAACTAGAAGCATACATCAGAACGGTTACACTGAGACAAATAAAGTTTAATATGTACATGTTTAAGAGTTAAATGTGAAGTGTGTTATTCCAAATGGAATAGCATAATAATAATAATAATAAAAGCATGATCTCCCAAACACTCCCTTCAACTTCTATTGGTTGAGAAAACTGATAGTCCCACCCATAAACTCACTCCATTGGTTTAGTCAGAATTGACATGCCATGTCATGCCAAAAAACATATTAATGACATATTATTTACAAAGACTATGAACATTAAATATTTTAATATCCAAAACAATTACACACTTCACCTTTAAACAGAATCTTACCTTTCCTTTTTCTCCATGCGACATGATGCTCCTGCCTGATGATACAACTAAATAAAGAAAAAAAGATATACATAAATATATATAATTAAATAAATAAATTTAATCAAGACTTTTAGAACTCCTAATAGGTTTTTCTTAAAGGGGTCATATGATGCGATTTCAATTTTTCCTTTCTCTTTGGAGTGTTACAAGCTCTTGGTGCATAAAGAAGATCTGTAAAGTTGCAAAGACTAAAGTCTCAAATCTTTATTCTTTATAAAAGTTAAGAGTCAACCACACCTACCTAAAACGGCTCGTTCTAACACGCCCCCACATACCTACGTCACTATGTGGGAAGATTTGCATAACGCCGCCCAAATGTTCACGCA